CGCTCCTCGGATGCTCTCATTTCCCGAGTTGTGCTTTTAAGTCGGAATGTGAAAACAACATGGACACTCGCGTTACTACAAAGATTTGTGTTATTTGTATTATTAGAGCTTTCCGACTTGAGTTCACGTGCATTTTCTCAGTCGGGAAATTATTTGTCACGTGCGGTGCCAGTGATGATGCTTCTTATGTCCGTTTCGGAGAACCGGAGGAAATATTTCAATCGATCGCTCAGGCATGGCACCGAAATGAGGCACCGAAATCTGCGTTCTGATTCGGTTCTAGTACATACCGGTTACATAGGTACCGGTGCCATATTGGTACCGGGTTTCGGTTTCCCAAACCTTTTCAAGATCCTCATGCTTAAATCCTTAGTTACAGAAAGGTCTGCATGAAGGTTTGCTACAGTACTAAAGGCATTAGAAAACTTAAACAACCAGCTCTACCATAATATATGAGTCAGACAGATGGGTCTCCAAGTCTTTGGAGCAAGGGTTCTCAACTCCAGCCCTCAAGGCCCACTTTCCTGCAGAGTTTAGCTCCAACCTTGATCAAATTCACCTGCCTGTAACTTTCTAGTGATCCTGGAGGAAATGCTTGCAAAACCAAGTTACTCAATTCAATAGGACAATTTAAATTAGAAGCAGTATTTCGACTCAAACTCGGTTGAAAATTAACGTATTTTCAAAAAACAAATTCATGCTACACAAGCAGAATAAATTTGCACAAATCCCCTGTAAAACATTGTTACATTGAAATAATGAATGATGTAAACAAATTCTTTCATTAATAAGGGCCACTAATAGCATTGTGTCACTGTTTAAATGACTGAATCAGTTTGTTGAGCCGGTCCTTTGGTCCTTTTTAGATTTGAAAACTAATTGGAATAGTGTTCAGCATGAACAAAGCCTTAGAAAAGAAAAAAAATACAACCTCAAATGAATTCAAATATGATTCCAGTCTTATCAAAAGCCTCTTTTGAAGTGTAATAAGTGAGCATTAAAGAAACGCAATGACATTTTTATATCTTTTTTTTTTCTTCTTAAACTCCCGCTTTATCAAGTGTTTGGGTTGTTGAAAGCTGCACTTTCGGGCATTAGTTAAGCCCCCCCATAAGTCTGTGCTGACACACTGGGTGGCGCTCCAGCTGTTATTCAAATGAATTGTTTAAAGTTAATTTTTTTCTTAAATAAAGGGCTGAAAAGATGCAACGTGACACAAGGAAGCCTTCAATGACTTGTACAGAGTGGTCTGTTCAGAAACAAAATTACTCAAAACTCTCGTGGGCTTTTGAGTTTCTCTCTGCAACAAAGACACAAAACCAGGACAAGGGCATGCCGACAAGGTCTGGACTATTAAAAGTTGCTTTAAGTGAAGTGGAAAGCTACAGAGAGAGACAGAGGCCACCCAATCAATTCCGTTAAAACGTAGTTATTGATGGCCAATAATGAAGATGTCCTTCAGGTTAGTAATAAATAACCTGCATTAAAATAGAAGGGATCAGAAAGCAGTAAGTAGAGAGATATGCAAAATGGAGCAAACAATCAAGAAAACTCTTTCTGTTTACCTATGTGGACATCCAGTGCGGCTGATGATTTGTCAGTGGTGGGGTCACTGATGAGAACGGCTTTCAGCCCATTTGTAAACTCAAGTCCTCGATACTCCCGTTTGTCTTCTGGAGAGCGATTGATATCACTCACTACCCTCTTTACAGCCGGATCACTCATTCTGATGGACAGAGTTGAAATAGGTCTGGATAAACAAAAGACAACGTTAAGAGGCCAGGCATTATCAAACAAACTCTTATGAATGACTTCCTGTAAGGAGGAATTTCAATGGGCAGACACACTCCACATGTCAAGTAAATTTCACAATCAGTCAGACATACAGAAACCATTTAGATCAGAATGCGAATTAAAACGTCATTTAGTTTTAGTTATTTAGTTTAAAATGTTACACTTTAATTAAAATTAGGCTCAGTCCGTTAAATTAGTTGAAGTGCTAGATTTAGTTTGAAAGTATTACCTTAGTCTAACTGTACTTTAAGTGTCCGTTTAGTCTATTAGCTTACTTGAAACTTAAGTTCAGTTGAGACTAAACTTGCACTTGAACTAAACCACTAATGTAGCTGCATTAATGGTTTAGTTCAAGTGCATGTTTAGTCTCAGTTTAAGCGAAATTGTCTTGGTTGAAGAATACATTTAGACCGATTAGTTTAAAAGTAAATTGAGATTAGGTTGTAGATTATGTCACGTTACTTTGGTTTAAGTGATTTAGTTATGCGTATGTTCAGTTTAAGTCGAACTTAAATTTAAACAGTCCAGTCGTCTTTCAGCGTTTTCGTGGGGCTTGAAGTTTTAAATTGACTTACTGTTGAGTTAAAAACAAACGAGAAATTGAACAGACTCAAACATTTTCAGAATTTAAACAAAAAAATGTTGAAACATTATGAAATACTGTCATGAGCTAATGCTATCGCGCGCGACAGCAACACACGAGCCCAACGCCAGCGAATCGGGCCGCCGCTGAACGAACACAAAAAACAAAACATATATTTGACACTTACCTAATAGTTCGAATGAAAACAGTGGTTAATATCATAAAATCGGAAGAAAACTCGCTGTAAAGGCCCACCGGCTAGCACATTTCTGCATACTTCAGTACTGGATAACAAAACTCTGCCGAAGGCGTCAAGACGCCATGATTTCGGCAGACAGAACCAATCAAACTCAGATCAGCCGCAGGCCGCTTTTACGCGCCGTTGATTAATTTACATTTAATATGAGATATTAACCATTACATATATGTATACACGTACGTGGAACATATATTGTTATCAAAACATTTTGAAATACCCATTTGTTTCCCTGAAGTGGTTGGAATTGCTTAGTCACGCCTTGCCGACGATTGACGTTACGAAACAGGCCACACCCACATCCAGGTTTAGTAGCGAGCACGTTGAGTATTTAAAGTGACCCCTGATTTAAGCGTCCAGCTGTCCATCTCTTTCTCTCTCTCTCTCTCTCTCTCTGATTATGATTCGCTAGTGACATAATCTTAAAACTCTTACTGATCTAATCCCTTATTGATATATTCTTTTGTGATAGGGTAGACATGATGCAAACATTATAGGTTAAACGTATAATATGTAAAAGGGAAAGTGTGTTGTTCTGTAACTGGTCACAATTTATTTTGTTTATCATAATTTTTAATCACAGATCGCTTCGATTCTAAAATGGTTTGAGAAGCATGTCATGCTGCAGCTCTTTCTGACTGCTGTCATTGCTTGACATTTAATGTCAACCAGACAACAACAACTTTGAGTGTGTTACTGTCATAACGACCTCAGACAAGAACAAGAACACATAACTACTATGCAAAACTGCAGTTTACTTCTCTTAAAACAAAAGATCAGTTAAAGATAGTTTCCAGGTTTCCATTTATGTTATTTCGGTGCATCTGGAAAATGTACGACGACGTTAGACAAAGCACACGGAAACAACTTTTGTTTCAATTCACTAACAATAACATACATTTTGTTCAGTACAGATTATACTGTACAACATTACACAATGATGCATACAAAAATAAGATAAGAGAAAAAAAAGAACAAGTTATTATAAACTATCAAATAAAATAAAAAGTGCCAGGGGTAATAATATAAAAATATTATAAAATAAAAAAAAAAATCTTTAAATATATATAAAAAGCAAAATAATATAAAAACAATCATATAAGAATAAAAATAAGTGTACAAAAGGGTGGTTATTGAATTACTAACCCTGACAGACAAATGTAACTGAATATTAATTTCATCGGCTTGTTATTTTTCATGTTTTGTTTTCAAGTAGGCTATATGACAAACAATAATACAAAATGTTCTGCAAGATCTAAAGATGCAGTAAGGAGCTGGGAGCTTGATTTGCTCTTAAACAGATTCTGGATTAAAAATGAACAGTCTTTAATACTCTCTACAACAATTTCATCCTGACAAATAATCACAGAAACGTCGCAGAGGTCATGTCGGCTGTTTGGGAGATTTGCAGAGCCCGAATAAAGAATCAGGGCTGAATTTGTGATTTCTTGTTTACAACATGAAAATCAGTTGTTACAGCAGCTGTTCATCAGAATAACCCATTAAAGCCTTGATGATCATCCCTGTGAATTTTCCGCATCGCGCTCGTCCTGTAGGTGGCTCGCCGTGATCGTATAGTGGTTAGTACTCTGCGTTGTGGCCGCAGCAACCCCGGTTCGAATCCGGGTCACGGCAGTTTTTTGTGCAGTAAAATCCCGAATTCATTATTACGGATTCTGAGTATTTACACAGCCAAATCAGGATGGTCACAGAATGAATCTAAAATAGCCGTGACAGATTAAAAAGACTGACACATCTTAACGTTGACGTAGTCACGTTGCGGATGCGTCAGTGTTGTCCTGACCGTCGCACCAATATGTCATTTTGATCACTTCCACTAGGTGGTGATATTACAATTGTTAAGAATATGAATCATACACACTGTACAGTGTTGCCAACTTAGCAATTTTGTTGCTAAATTTAGCAACTTTTCACATTACCTTAGCAACTTTTTCTTCCAAAAGCACCTAGCAACAAATTTAGCTGTTTTAAAATTTATTTGGCAACTTTTAGCAACTTTTGATAAGTGACTCAAACGATAAAAAGGCACACATTTTCCATCTAAATCACACAAAATAAGGAAACCAAAGATGCCTAGCAGTACACAATTCACATGAATTAAGTTATTGCTATTTGCAATTGTTTAATTTAATAATAATAATTGAATATTTGAATAATTGTTCATTTATGATACACCTTGTTAGTAGCTTGTACCTGCGATTGTTGA